GGTTGGGTTAGCAGCAGTTAGGAGTAACAGCTAATGAGGTCTAAGGTTCGAATCTCGGGCCTGGTTCATNTTTTTTTTTGCTGTTACGAATTGACTACCAGTATAAAACTGGCTTCGAAGAATGATTCATCCAAAGAGACTAAGAATCGTGTTTTGTTTTTTACAACGTTGTATGATTGATGACATTCGGATTCGGTAGTCCGTAAATGATTCATTCCCATCTGCCACCATACCATCCGTTCTTCGTCCTCTGTCTGCCCTTATTGAATTGACACCAATACATAGTCGTATCGTCGGTCAGCTGGTTATTGAGAACGTTGCTCTTCTTCTCCTCCTTACACTACCGTCCGCCGTATCTCCAATTACTTCCCATTAACCTTTTACATAGCTTTTTTGTCTAGTGAAATTAGGATCACTCGAAGAGGCAATAAAGTAAAAAGCGTTCTAATTGAATGGGGTCAGGACCACTCACTGGCTCAAACACTCGTTTCCTATAAAAAGAGCGCCGTAGATTAATCATATATTTTGTTGTTTATTTTAATTTTGAACACATTGTAACTTCAGCTAGATATTTGAAAGTGAAAAAGCCCAAAGCATCTGAAGTTTCCAATTAAATCTTTTTTCGTTCCATTTTGAACATTCATCGGCTTACTTCCTTTTGCAGTCTATTTGAATGAAAATTTCCTTCTTGTGGGAGTTTATGCTTTCCCTTGTTTAAGTACCTTCCTCCTTTGTATATCGATTTCAGATCCTTTCACTTCTTCCTCTTATGCAGCACCTTTTTGCTTTGTATTCGGTTTATGATATTCTAGATACCTCTAGGTTTACAATAGAATTTCGGCTCAAATTAGATTACCTGAAGACTTTTGCCTTCTAAAGGATAGAGCTTTTCGGTAGACTTTCGAAGCGACACCATAGTAGAGGCAAGTTCTAGGTAATTAATTGGTAAGTGGAGTAATGTAGAGTAAGCCCTCGAACAATTTGTAAATTTGTGATGATTGAAGGATCAACTCGACTGTTTTTCAGTTTCTTAAAATATGTAAATGTACTAGCCGAATCTATGTTAAACTCTCATTGAGCTTAGCCTTGAAAGGTCTCTTATGCATGGCGTATCCAAGAGGAGTTAGCTGAGCTGTTGCAATCTTCTTCATAGGGTGTTGCCATAGAAAGTGGCGGTACGATAATAAATCTATTCCTTTTTGCTTTTTATGATCTCTATTTATCTTTACTTTTCTTGCCATTAGTGTACAACACTCAATACTTCACCATCTCTTAATCTAGCGGTCGTGGGCGTGACCTGTAAAAGGGGTGGAGCTTCATGAATGAAATAACTGCTGAATTTCTCAACGCCAAATTTTCACCTCGGTTGCTCTTTCAGCCATGAAACAGACCCAGTTCAAATCCTATGGAGTTTTCTTTGAGGGGAATATGTATTCAGTTCATCGTAGCCATGGAACTCGGTGATGGCTCCAATGTCTTTCTCGGTGGGAAGATCTGGGTTTACTCTTTTCTTATGAAACAGTTAGAAGGTAGAGGCTGTTCACTGTAAAAAGGGGACCCAGATGAATTCGATATCTTTGATGCTTCTTTGATAAAGTAGCTTCGGTGCTACTTCTGGTAAGTTTACTCATCATAGTAGAGATCTCTGTGATCAAAGTCACTCTGACGATCGATCAAGTCTAAAGAGTGTGTAGTGATTTGTGTCAAATACTGCGCCCTACATTTCTTGTATTCCGTCATTGATACCTGCGTTTTCCCCTCTTTTTACTATTCCTTACTACTCATTTTAAATTTCTTTTATAATTATTAACTACTGTAACCTTATTTGAGTTAATAAGTTTCTCCGCAACCGCCCTGCATTATCGGCTTCATTTCCCTAATCCTCTTCTATGCTCCCGATTTCACGGCTGCATTCGGATTATCCGTTGAAGAGGTTCTCCTCAGGGCCAGCCAGTCCATTCTATTATAATCTACTCTAGAAACTTTCTTCACGCCTCCTCACTTTCTTTCATTCATATCTTCGAGCAACCATGGGTCCTCGTGGTATGTTTGTGCTTTGATTTGTGTTCTTCAGTTGCTTACCCTTACCTATTGGTTGGGTTAGCAGCAGTTAGGAGTAACAGCTAATGAGATCTAAGGTTCGAATCTCGAGCTTGATTCATTGTGGATCAGCCAAACTGCCTTCTCTCGGCTGTTCGGAAGGGGGTAGAGATCGTATTTTACGTTTGTTACCAGTTCTACCCTTGGTGGTTAAGATATAAAGCAGTCCATTGGCTGGTCCCTCAAATACTTGTTTAGGTAGATTACCAATTCTGATATCCTCAGGACCTCTCAAGGAGAACGAAAGGAGTTCTTGGAATCAAATTGCTGGAAAGCTAATTGAAGTAGTCTTTATCGGTAGTGCCGGTTACTCCTTCTCCCCAAAATCCTTCGATTTGCTCTCTTTGGTGCCAGTCTCCCTATCGGATGTGATTCAGTTAGTCTGAGGCTGAGTGGTGAGCCCTAATTATCGTTCCTTTCATGGCCTCCCAACTGGAACCTCTGATTAGCTCTACTAACATGGTTCTTATGTCCGTGCCCTGATTGAGGGCATTCGTGTCCGATTACACGGGCTCACTAAGCTCTCCAGTAGGAGTATCATATTTTCGTTGTCCACCGGACATTTCCGGCGCCTCCCGTCCGATGCGATTTTTCAGCGACAGCAGCTGTCTTGAATGTATTTCTTTCTTTGTTCCGAATAGGTCGCATGTCGTCGACCACCAATGAGTCCACAAATATTCCAATTTCACCTTTCCAACTTCAGTAATCCTAACAACTTCTGGAATTTTCTGGTTCTCCGTACAGTAAACCCTATAGAAACCTTATAAACCTCTGTTCTTTCTTCTCATTTCCACTTTTGTAGCGCAATATCGTTAACAGTAATGAATAATAATAATAATAATAATAATAATAATAATAATGGTCAAAATGTTTATAAGTACAAATATAATAACAGTACTAATGCTCATCAATGAGAATTATAATATTGAACATTTTCTAGAACATAGTGTACTAGAAGAATAAATAAACAAATGAATAAATAAATAAGACCCATTGTCACAGACGTTACAAACAAGCAGAAACTTTGTAATTATGGGTAAATTCATTAAACATGCGTTNATTATTAATAGTAGTAGTAATAGCAATAGCAATAATAATAATATAATAATAATTATAACAATATAAAAACGATAATAAAAATATTTTGGTATCATACGAACCTCATAATACCATCTTCTACAGAACTACACACCTCATGCGGACACTTGAGCTGGTTTGACATCTTCTGCTAAAGAACCTGTAANATAATAATAATAATAATAATAATAATAATAATAATAATAATAATAATAATAATAATAATGGTCAAAATGTTTATAAGTACAAATATAATAACAGTACTAATGCTCATCAATGAGAATTATAATATTGAACATTTTCTAGAACATAGTGTACTAGAAGAATAAATAAACAAATGAATAAATAAATAAGACCCATTGTCACAGACGTTACAAACAAGCAGAAACTTTGTAATTATGGGTAAATTCATTAAACATGCGTTCTTAATTTTAGAATGATAACGATGGTGACAAATACTACTGTTTGTTTATTTACTTATTTATTTATTTATTCATCTGATTACTTATTTATTCAACTGTTCAATTATCAATTAATTTATCTAGCAAATTATATGACGCAGAAGCTAGGCATAATAATAATGGTACTAATATTGATCATACAATATTATTAATAGTAGTAGTAATAGCAATAGCAATAATAATAATATAATAATAATTATAACAATATAAAAACGATAATAATAATATTTTGGTATCATACAAGCCTCATAATACCATCTTCTACAGAACTATACACCTCAAACGGACAATTGAGCTGGTTTGACATCTTCTGCTAAAGAACCTGTAATCCAAAACTATTCATATAATTTCTACTTCTGAGCTATTTTCCTCCACAGTTTTGGCAAAATATGTTTGAATATCTTTTCGCAATCAAATTGCCCGTCACTGTTGCACTTGGCTAGACCGAAATTCCCATCAAAACGATTTACGGCGTCTGAGAAGCTCGGGCCTGTGCTCATCGGCGTATTCTGTTGATTCAAAAGATTTTCATGCAGCTGATCGCTGTTTAGAGCATCTTTATTGTCAACTGTGGCCTGCTGCTGTTCGTTCATCATGGAAATACGGCTAGTTCTTGTATGTTTCAGGTGAATCTGTGCCAGAAATGATCAATAAGAAGCTCTCGTTGTATGCCGAGTTTACAGAATTTTCTCGAAAGCAGATCAAATTCTTCACGGAAACTTTCCGAAAGTAAGTTTTTTTTTTGGATATTGTTGATTCTATTTTTTCTACCTTTGTAAACTTCTATTTTGCTATTTTGGCTCCATAATGGAATTTCGAGTTTGATTAACCGATCATTGAAGTTTGAAAAGAATTTTTTGGTGTTTTTTTTTNNTTTTTTTTTGAGTTTTTTGGGGAACATCTAACAATTTTAATCGAACTCATGGGGAATTCAATTGGAGGTTGTAAGTGTGGCGATGAAATTCGTTACGTTCTTTTTATTGCCGCAATCTTCTAGAAGAATATTTGCAGCAATAACAAAAGACTGCAATGGTTATTTCTGCATATCTAGTCAGTAGTTTACAAAATGCGGTATTTCGTACGATAGTAGGTGTGGTCTGTAGAGAGGGCGAAGTCTGAAGGGTATTATGGGTCATCTTTCTTTCCGATTTCACCTCTAGTAGTGCTAAGGCTACAAAACAAAACGAATACAAGCTAGTATTAAGAAAAAATCGTTTCGCTCTCTATCGCGGCTATAGTACTCTATGTTACTTTTGTGGCTTTGTACACTTCCAGAGGTCCGTAAATTTTTGTGGGTGGAATTTACGACAGGAGATTCACCAATAATACTCAGTACTCACATTGCTTCTCGTGCTGTGTTCAAAATCCTGGCTCAACACCATCAAACTTGAGCGGACATCGAGTTCTTCTAATGTCAGATTAGCCGGATCCAGGAACGATACCCGTCCGAACCAGTTTACCATCTAATCCTCTGGGGTCTGCTTATTGGTACCAAGCTCATGGAAAGTTGAAAACGCTGGCTTGTATATAGGCTCACCACGAGTCATTATGTGGGCATTCATTACTTCACGATTCCGAATGAGAGTCGAATGCGGATGTGCATTCAAAAACAAGATTGTAAGGATAAAAGGATAAAGTTTTGGCGTTAATCAATCCCGTCTGAGGGATGCGCCCCCGCACTCGACTTCCATTCAGAATCGTAGTGGCGTAATGAGTGCGTATGTGGCCCATACAATGACTTGCGGTGGTCAGCTGATGTACAAGTCAGTGCTTTTATCCTCCCAGACGAGTCTGGTACCAATTCACCGACCCTGGGAGATGAANGTAAGTGTGGCGATGAAATTCGTTACGTTCTCAGAGTCTTGATGTTTTATTGCCGCAATCTTCTAGAAGAATATTTGCAGCA